TATAGGTGTATCGGTTTTGTATGAAAATATATTGTAAATCCTTCTTATTATAGTCATGAATCCGTAATAGGAGTATCGAAAAAAGAAAAATAGCTGCGTATGAGAATATTGTCGAAAGGTCCAATAACACAAACAATATCGCTTGGCGGAATGAGGGCAAGATAAAATAGATATTGGAAATATTTACATAGGTACGTACAAATGGTATTGATATAAATAATACTATAGATACGCTATCCATAGACCAATTTAAGATTTACAGCCCCGTTTCATTATTTTTTGTGAAAATACGATTATCTTGAATACATTTTCTTTGATCGTTAAGATATGGAGAATTGTTGTTTGGATAAGATAATTACTTTCCAAAAGAAGATCACTATAAAATGTACCTGTATGTTATTATCTTGGAAATGTTATTCAATATATTTTATAACCTATATTTTTACTCATATTACTTTGGTGTGCAACAGAATACGGATACATTGTTTTATCTGTGTTTTGTATAAATGAATGCCCTAAAATATATGGCCTATGTCAAATCAGATCCAAATGTGTACATCTAAGATTTCAAGGAAATAAAATTGAAACTATTGGAAAAGAATATAACCTTCAGTATGAATTTTCATTGTATTTTTTATGTACGACAAGAGAGTAAATTATTGGGAAATCTGAGACATGACAGTGTTTCTAATAAGTATCATTTTCTTATAATAACTTCTTTTTTTTTAGTACCTATCGCATTTATTTCTGTTTTTATGGCTACAATTTTATTTATCGTCAATAAAACAGAAATATATTTTATTTTATTTCGTTCAAACGAGACATACGTCATTACGACATCATTGGTGTTAGATCCTGAGCGATGAATGTGTGTGGGTTTAAAATAATAGTATGTGTTAGTGGTATCTTTACAATCGAGAGGAACTAAAATTAGTTACGGTAAAACGGAAGTACTTACGCAACACCATTGTTTAACAGATTAGAGTTTGTTGTTTTTTTTTTTGTCATTAAGCTACGGATAGATAGATCAACAATTTTTTTTCAATTTATGTGCGGTAAACATTTTTGTTTTCGATTAAAAAAAGCTCGAATAAGTCGAAAATGTCAAATATTTATAAGCAAGACGTCTGTACCTATGCTATAAAAGCAAAAATTATTTTTTTAATCAAATTATGTTTAGAAAATGCTAATACAATTTGTTGGTAAACTTTTTTACTTTTTAGTTAAAAATTTTATTCAAAATTTAAACAGTTTTAATTTAATGCTTCTTAAAATTTGTTTTTAACACAATTAAAAATATCGAAAATATAGACAAACTTTTTTTTTATAAACGTTTTTACTTTTTAGAGTTATAGTACTTTTCAAATGAGAACCGCCTTTTTACTGTTGGTCAAAAAACGATAATTTCTACATTGAATATCAAATGGTATTTTTTTATTTTATGTATATTTAATATTTAATGAAATTTAATTAAGTTCAGTATTGAGTAGTTTCTGAATATAATTAAACTTAATGCACTTAAGATGATAGGTTAATGGATAAGGGGTTTAGGATGGAATGACCATCATATAATGCTCCGTTTGAAAAGGGATCGTCCCGTTTTTGTGCATCATGTCCAGGGGCGTGGTCAAAAAATGTATGTGGGAGAGGGGGTTTCAAGTACAATTGAAGGACCTAGTCTTTTACATAACGACAATTTTTTTTTTTTTTTAATCAACAACAAATTCAATTTATAGATTTAAATATTATATTGCTAACAAAATCTAGTTTTTTTGATTTTTTGCTCAATTCATTTAAAACTTCTTCTGCTGTTAGTGGAATTTTTTTATGAACAGCTGACATAGCTAAGCCATTAAGTCGAGTATAAAACCAAAAAAATGTTAAAAAAAATTGATATAAATTTTTATTTTTATATCCAGAAAATACCTCAGTCATTGTGTTTCGTAGATAAGATTTCAATCTTTTGAGACAAGAAAACGTTCTTTCGATGGTGGATGTTGAAACAGGTAAAGTGCATAGTAGGTATTTTTAATAGAAAATGTATATTGGGAAAATATTTCTTTATCACACTGTCTCAACGCTTCTAAACAATTTTTTGGATATTTTACATGCTTATTAAGTTTGGTATGCCATATATATGTAGTTCAGCTTTAACTGTTAACTTGTCAGTATCGAGGTAAAATTCAACAAGTTCATCAAAGTTTTCTGAATAAGTTCCAGAAAATAAACACTGGAAGCCTAAAAAACAAATTCCTATTTTGAGTATCTATTAAAAGTATATTAAAAATTATTCTTTATCCAACCTTTGAATATATTTTTATGACATAAAAATCTTGCTTCTAATTGCTGAATGAATGAGTCTATGTATGGAATAGCGACAGTTACACAATAATAAGACGCAATTGCGTTGAAGTATCGGCAACTGCGGGGCAGTGTACACATTCGATGTTGGAAGCATTTAACGATAAAATACGAATTGGGAAATTTTATGATAACATAATTCGACAAGTTATAAAGATTATAAAGATGCATTATTTGTTTTAAAATAAAAAATAAAAATAATACTGTCAATGGGTTTGGGGGTTAAACCCCATGAACTCCCCCCCTTGAGCACGCCCCTGATCATGTCCCCTTGTTGCAACCAACTTTGAAATCCCGTTGGTCGTTATCACTTATTCCCAAACTATTTTTACATGCGTAAAAGAACAAAACCTGTGCACAAAACAAATACAAAACAATTTTTTTACAGTTTAACATTGAGTTCAATAATTCATTATAAAATGTGCATGAAGCATAGGTGCAATTAACTCTCGAAGTCTCGACATTTCAAATATTTGATAATTCAAAAATCTCGACAATTTGAAGTAAATGATCAGTCATTTTAAAACCTTGTGGTGATTAAATAAAAAAAAATTATTTAGGTTTACTTGGTAAATTGTAATTTTAAGTAAAATATTGGGCAAATCAGTCGCCAGCACGTGACAATTCGAAATTTCTTCCACTCATTGTTCGGTTGTTTCGTAACATGTACATTAGTAAAATCGTTAATTTTTCCCAAGCACCATCGAATTATTACATAAAGTTCGAAATATTATTATATACGTTTCGAAAATAGTATATATAAAAAGCTAAACTAAGTTCAATGTAGTAGAAAAAAAATTGCATTTTTTAAAAATGTTTAAATCTGAGGATTTGCGTATTTGGGTCTCATATATTGTCTTTATGCATAACATGTATCGAGAGTTGTCTGAATAAAATTAAATTTTTGTATAATTTTATAAAAAATAAACCAGAAATTATTTTATTACAATTTATTAGTTTTCAGTTTTATTTATTGAGTGACATAATATTATGTATCTTTTTATAATCTAAATAAATGGTTTTTATACTATATTTTTGAAACCAATAAATAATCTAAATATGTCTACTTTATAAAAATATAATATACTTATATATATTATAATTTCAAGAAGGGTCAATGCCCATTGTCATATTGGGACGAATTTGAGATTATTTGACCTATGTCATAAACTCATAAATATTTGATTATGTTAATAGTGTTAAGACGGCCAATGTCTCTGACGCACTATGGCCAAAATAATACATATATTGGCCATTTCAAATTTTTACATTAATCGATAAAAGTAAATTATAGATAATATATTAGCTACTTATATAACAATTAACGGGATTATCTCGACATCGGAAGCGTAAATTCTATAGCTGCAACATTAGCCATTCCAAAATCAATCAATAAAGTTTATAAATATATAAGTTGATAACATTGGATATATTGTGCAATTTAATACTATTATTAGGATTTAATAATACAATTTAATTGAAAAGTGTTTATTTCATAATTTAATTTTTGGCCAATGACAGATATTAATTATATTAATTATCCATCAATAAGGCCAATGTGAAAATAAAATAAGTTCATTGTCTGGATTCTCAAAATATATTTTGCATGTGTTTCATTACACGAAGAATAGAAAAGAAATATAGTCATCGAAATTCCAAAACTTGAAAGTAAAATCCATAATGGTCGTATATTTATTTTATTTTATATTTCCCTTATTTTAAAATTAAATTTCCCAACAATGTCCTTTTTTGAAATTGGTCTTCCTTGCACCAAATCACACATATATACAATATATAAGTATATGTATACACTTCCTACTGTTAGAATATTTACATATAGAATAAAAAAAAAAGAATAGTAGGTACTTGGGTCTTAAATTATTTTTAACTTAAAACCCTTCAAGTAATATGATATTTTACGGTCTATAATAAAATCATAAAGAAATATTATAGTAATATAATATAGACATAAATAATATGCAGTTTCTTAGACAATATACCTATGACTGAAAAGTATTATTCTCTGACTTCTGCGAGTTGAATCAATTATGCGTTTCACTGTTTCAGATAATCATATAGCAAGCGACTAGAGGAGGGGCAGAGGAGGTCCCTAAATAATTGCTGTGTAAAAGTTTATCGTTTATTCATTATAATTTAGATTATTTTATTACAGCAGCTGTCAATGACCGTAGCCGATATAGATAGTAAAGACATAATAATAATCCAAAAACTTTTCCTACGAATCTAGAAAACTTTATGAACAGTTTGAAATTAAATCCCCGAGATCATAGACTATATAATATATACACTCAAAGATAATATTCCGAGTAAAGCAATCTAAAAGCAATGATTGCATGAGCCATGTTATTCATTTAACCCAACGAAACAAATAAATCGATCGTGTTCGAAAAACCCGTATACACGAATATTGAGAGATGAATATACGTATGATATAGTGAAGTCAGAGCCATGTATAATAACATAATGCTATGACCTTGTGCAGTTGTTTTTGAACTTGTAAGCTTAGATATTGATATACAGTGGATTTCGCTTAATGTGGGCACGTTGGGACCAGCTCTGTTTGCCCACATTAAGCGGTTGCCCATAAAAACCGAAATAAGTTTAAGAAAAAAAAAAAATTATAATACAAAAAAGTTTTTATTTTTATTATCATATAACTGAAAAAAAGTAAAATAATTACTATATAAATTAAATTTCCAGGGAGCATTTTCATCAATGTTTTCAAATTCGTTATGGTTTTGAACAAACAAAAATTGTTCATCCAACTCAGTCAACTCAGGTTGTGGACCAATAAAATTAGAAAATCCACAATGAGCGAAACAATTCATAATAGTTGAGCAGCTAACTTCTCGCCAACTCTCGGATACAAACTGTATCGCTTGCAATACGTATATTATGCCACTAATTTGATTAGCAGTTGCAAATGGATCAAACAGGTTTTCCTCAATCTTTTCTAGAATAAAATGAACTAGTTTCATTCTGTATCTCACCTTGAGGTTTTTGATAATATCCATATCTAAGGGTTGGATAAATGGCATAATGATTTTTATTACTTTCGATAAACACAATCTCATAGATATGACGAAATCTGATTAAATTAGTCGTTTTTAAATACATATGTGTATATTCTAACGCTATGATAAAATAAAATTGCCCACATAAACTGAATCGAGTGCCCATATTACGCGGTTAGATTTAACATTGTTAATATACATTTGTATTGGGACCAGACCAGTTTGCCCACAATAAGCGGATGCCCATAATAACCGGTGCCCACAATAAGCGGATTCCACTGTATATATATTATGATTTGAGACTTGAAAGGCGAGACTCGAATCAAATGAAAAACGTCGTATATAGGTACTTCGTGACATACCGCTAAACCGTATTCGTTATCATTTATCATTCTCTCTCGACTATAAAGCGTGTGCTATATGTATGGGTTTTTTTTTTTTCCAGAGAGAGGAAAACTGCAATGCCGGGCCAACAACAGGAACGCATCAGGCTGTCGTCGATGGGTGGGGAGTCGACTTGCAGCAACAGCAGCAGCGGGGGCAGTGGCAGTGGCAGTACGACGATGAAAATTCGGAGACGGGTGGTGATGATGGGTGCAGCTAGGGTGGGTAAGACGTCCATCATCAAGCAGTTCCTGTACGATCAGTTCCCAGACCGATACAAGGAGACCATCGAGGAATTGCACAGAGGCGAGTGAACAAATTAATTATATCGTTCGTGACGTACTTTGTGTTTAACTTAAAAATATCTGTTTATTCAAAGCAACTATATTATAATATTCTAACCGTTTGTTAAACATCAGAGTATTATCAAATTACATTTATTATTCTTTCACGAAAACTATAAATCGTTTTAATTACGCGAAACGTGAAAACTGTAAAGGTACACCACTTAAAATAGTTTTTCTAAATTAATGTCGCGCTCTCAAGTTTATATAGTTATTAAAAATAATAGTTAGCAGAGCGTATTGCGTCATAGTTTTAACTAAATGAGATATGAGAAGAATCTTGATATCCGTTCACTATCCCGTCCATTTTTTTTTAAGCTTGTTATTTTTTGATTTATTATTTTTGTCAGAAGCTTGGAAGCTCCCTCGTTAATTGCATACATTTTTTTTTTTTTTATCATAAACGACAAATTATTATTTATAATTAAGCAACACATACAATATGACCCGTTTGACGTATAACACTATCTCTTAGTTGATTTTTATAAACAATAAAAGAAGTTCGATAGTATATCATTAACGAAGTTATTGAAGGGACAAATTAAATATATAAGGTTACCTTTATTATGTAACATACCTACGTACGATATTATTACCGGAAACTCGGTTGCATAAATTGTTCATTTGTCTAGTCGTAAAAATTTAATTATATAATACATTTTTCGAAGCATATAGAAGTACCTACCGTGTTGCAAGGAACTAAAATGCTCTCAGTATAAATTAATTGCTCTTATTTAGTATTTTAACTGTGCTATTGTGAGGTTTGTTTTGGAATATCTGAATATATGCATCTGCATTGTGGGATTCACAATCCATATATACTATTAACATTAGCAAATATTGTTTGATAAAATAAACATATTATTACATACATTACATACAGGGCCCCCACATAGGGGCGATAAGCATTTGGACCTGGAGTACAGATGAGGCACGGCTATTTTAGGGGCCCGTTGAAATTAATTTGTCATTTTTGAAATTTTAACAGAATTACTTATTTTATATTGAATAATATTTTTTGATATAAATGTATAATACTATAATATGAATATTAAGTAGAAATTGTGTAGGGAAAACTCGTATCGCTTGTATAGAATTGTATTTTATTGGAAGTGCCCAAAGTTTTGTTTAGGGCCCACAAAAAAATTTAATTCAGGGGCCAACAATTTTATGTTTGGGTCTGATTACATATTATTATATATTTAATCAATGCTATTAATATAGTTTTATCTTGTAAAGTGTTTACACTGTACATCTTAAATTATTGTTTTTTGATATTATATTAAAAATTGATCTCTTACCGCATAGGCGTCACTAAGGGGGTATCGAGGGGTATTTTTGCTACCCCAGAAATTGTATTGGGATAGCAAGGGTATCATTTCGCTACCCCCAAAAAGTCTTAGATTTTAAAAATATATTTGATGTTTATTATTCAAATGTGTATGAACATAGACTATCTATTATTGTGATTGTGATTTGTGACCAAAATAATTTGTGACAACTCCAATACAGATGATGAAACAGTGTATCATAGATAATAAAGATAATATCTTTATTATCTTTGCAGTGTATACACTTTACACAGACTTCTATGATACACTAGATAAGGAACTCCTATACAATTTACATTGTTACAAATGAAGCTCAGCTGTGGACGGCCGCGATTTTTTCGGTTGGCAAAACATTTCATTTATTATACAAAATGTATTAGGAATAATATTTTTTTTAATGGTCAAATAAAATAGTAAATGTAAAATGACTTATATAAAATATTTTTATTTTTTTTTTAAACAACATGTTTAGAAATAATAAAATATGATACAAAATAAATCATAATATCATCTTATTTGTCATATGAAATACCATACAATTGCCAACCGACCTCGAAGCTTCAATAAATTCATGGCGGGAGTTCGCTATCTAGTACTATATAGAAATCTGTGACACTATACGTCTTACCACGGTCTAAGATATCTATTAGTCCGTGCGTCATACCAAAATGGCAAGACGGGTAAACAAGGATCTAACATCATGTTGGTTTACGGGCTCGTTTCCTAGGTTCAGATACCAGATCATAGGTAAACGTAAGCCCTACAACTGATCGAGTTTCTATTCTATATTGGTCCGTGGTCATAACTAATGACTGATCAATATTTTCTCTGTGAGCTGTTTGGTTAGTTGATTTTGGTTTATTATTCATAATTGTGAATTTTGGAGTCGTTCTTAAAATTTCAAATTTCAAAAGTCAATAAGTTATTATCTACTTATTATCAACTAAAAAGTTACTTAAGAACAACCATGGACCAAACAAGACTAAGTGTCTTAGGTTTATTGTATAGACTCAAATATAAAGAGGTAAATAAAAATGCAGTTATCGACGAATTTTGTGCTGACAACAAACGCCGACTTAATTTAAAATAATAAATATTTTAGTACTCATAAATTTAATAATTAATATAGGTATCAATGTATACTATTTCAAAATAATTTAATATTTGTTTCATTAACTAAAATAAATTTTTATTTTTTAAGTGAAGTATATAAATTCAAATAATGATAAAATATAAAACCGATACGTCAAACGCTTAAAAATATTATCCTCTATAACTTTTGCAATGGATGATTTTATTCTACAATATTACTCAAAAGTCAAAAGTCATACAAAAATGGTTTTATGTGAGTGCATTTTATCTATGTTGCACATGAGAGAGAAAACAAATATCGCGATGACATCCTCTTAAAAAGTGAACGTTTTTTGTTGCACATACGATTTAATTTTCACAAGTATTGAAGCTCGTACAACTATAAGCCACAACTGGTTCATTCTTTTCAGTTAATATATATTTTATCATAATTTTTTCCGATTTTTCCAAACATGCATAGTATACCGAGAAAAAATATGATAAACTAAAATGTCTAGCCTATTTATAATTTATGAGTTTAAAATAAAAATTAAACAACTTTAATACAAAATATTTTTCGTTATTTAAATAAAAACAATGATGTGATCGAAATTTAACAGACTAGGTAAGTTTTGAAGTTTTGGCGATAAATTAAGTCTATTAAATTATCAATAGCTATACTACCTACCGACCTATCTTAAAACGCTTTACTTTACTATGCCAACCTGTACTATGTCAAGGCTCAAAGGGACTCGAATGTATAGGTACCTACATTTATAATATAGAGCAATGTGTGGTAACTCTTGGTTATTATAGAAACACGTGTGGAATATAAAACTAACATAATTTACACGTAATCTAAGCACAAATAAGCTCTTATTATGTCACTATATTGCCTGGGCACATAATTTAATTTTAGATAACCATCCGGCAAAACAATAACTTCCACGAATGACACTGTCTACTTAGTATTTTAATAACACTTCATTTTGTGGTGCTGCGCTTCGGTTTACCAACAATTATATAAGTTTACTGGGTTCGATTTACCAAACTCGGATATAATATGAAAGTTATGGATTCAAACCATACCAAACTGGCTTAGCCTTTAATAATTAATATAATATACATTTTAATAATTTAAAATGTTTAACGAGACGCGTGCATTACATTCTTATACTAATGTCCTTAAAGATATTGTGTATTATGCAATGTAACATTATATTACAGGAAACTGGTGCTGCACTGTTTAAGTACTATCTTATGCTTAAGATGCTATATAATAATAATTATTATATCTAAAATTCATGATTCTTCCCAAAGCGCGTTCCCAATATCGATAATGGTTACAAATTATAACTTGTAGAATGTAGATAGGTTGCCTACAATTGGTACAAATCACATTCAATTTGTCCGTTCTTATTCCTTTGCATCCCAACACCAATTGGATTTTTTATCCGTATCCGCTCTTAATATTAACAGTAAACTACGCAACTACTATTTCAGCGGTAATTATTTTAGTCATGGATATAATAAGAAACAACAAACCACCGTTTAGGAGCATTATTCTAAGAGTTATTAAGAACTAAAGGTTCAACACAATTTACATATGAAGGGTTACGGGGAAAAACGATAATAGTCAATATTCGTAAAATGTTCAGTATTGCAGTTTTAAAGTGGAACTCTGGCCTTTTTTTCCAGTTATGGTGATATTTAAACCTGTATTATATCCATTGATCGTGATCTTTATGCCATCACTCGATTCACGTGTCGATTCGTTATGAAACCAACCAAACAGTACTATGATTATTTGGTTTTTTCTTTCTTTTGACTATGATCGTTTTTCCATGTAACCCTTCAAATTGTTATTTAATAGAATCTTTCAATTAATTCTTAGCTCTTGTGTCAAAATAAATATGTTTGATTAATATTATAAAATTAATAAATTAATATAAATACATTAAATACAAAAGTACAACCTATTTCATGTTCATTGTGTCAACCATTGAACCATACAATAATCAAAAGATAGGTAATACAATATTATTAATTATTGTACATATATCAACAAAATAACTAACTATTTAAACATTATAGAACCTTCAGTCATATTATTTTGGTTTTAACATCATGGTCACATTATATGTTGTTTTAACCTAAATTTCTTTCCCAGAAAACATAATAAATTTAATTCGGAACATAAAAGTCGAAACTAGGTGAAACAAATATATTATCAACATATTAAGGTTATAACTTATAACTGTAGAACATTTTGTTTCTCAACCGAAATTGCTTACAATATCGTTTTTTGGTTCACCTTAGGTTTAGCTAATTTGCTTAAAACAAAAAACATATTTCAAGACTTAACACAGAATTACTTTGTAAATTTCTAGATTTGATTCATTGGATATTATTTATAGCAATAGAATACATTGCAATTTGAAGCTGAACACTATTTCCAGAACAATTTTATATTTTAAGTTACAACCTTTTGGTTCTGATCCCACAATATAGCATGTAGGTAGCTGTAATATTCATCAATGACACGCACGACCTTATTTTCACATAGGTTGCCTAATGCCTGTAAACACGCAAAAATGTATTCTTAGTGGTGCGTACTTAGAGCCAACGCCCCCCCCCCCCCGGATAAACTTAATTTATGGTCATTAATTTCATGTAATTAATTTTGAATATTTAATAATTTATTCTTTTTTGAGTACCTAATTTAACGTTTTTTTAATGTCTATAAACACAATAGAAAAATTAACTCCATTTAGAATAGATTTTACGAAACGTTATAATTTATCTCAGGATTCGTAATTGCTCGTAGAAAAAGACTTTATATTATATTACATTTTTTTTATATAGTTATAACCAGCTAATAGCTATATTGGTACACTTGGAAGGTGTACATAATAATGCGAATAATAACTTTTGTTAACTTATTTTATAGGTACTTTACATAATAATAATAAATGTTATTATAATTGTTTACAGGAGATTATGAATTACCCGATGGAGCACGATTGACATTAGACATTTTGGACACATCGGGAGCTTATCAGTTTCCAGCTATGCGAGAGTTATCTATATCAACTGCTGATGCATTTCTTTTAGTCTTCTGTGTAGACAGGGAAGACACATGGGATCAAGTTAAACACTTTAAAGAACAAGTACAATTGAAAACATCTTTTTTAAATCATAACACGATTTGGTAGGTTTTTAATTAATTGCATTAATCATTTTCATTAGATAATTGAAAGGAGAGGACCAAAAATTCCAATAGTAATTGTAGGCAACAAGTGTGAACTCACCGGACGATTTTTACCTGTGGAAATCACCGAAGCTATATCTAAATACGATTGGGAATGTGGCTACATGGAATGCTCAGCCAAAGAAAATAGAAACATAGTACAGGTGTTTAAGGAACTCCTAACTCAGGCAAAGGTAAATAAATAAATAAGTTCAGATTTACTGTTTTATTGTCATTGTTTAAAACTAATTTCGTTTCGAGTACAAATTCTAATGACCTTTTTTTTATTATTTTAAGCTAGTACGTATGCTTAATTACCCTACGTCACGTATACGAACTTGGCAGTACAAATATTGATTTCGATTAAATGTAGACCTAACGATTATGAATGGTAGACTATTATATAAATACTATAGTACATTAGTACCTATTATACATAGATAGGTCATATCCCATAGGTTTAGCAATGTGACGAATATGTTAGTGTCACGCAATAATATCTAAAAAATAATAATCATAATTATAATTAGGTACACACATTCTCATTGATGTCTACCACGTTATTATTTAGGCCAGTGACCCAAATATCAGAGATAGGTAAAAATAAGCCGGACAATTAGGTACAACAATATACGGACAAACTTAAATTTACTAACGAAGGGAAAAAATTGTAAATTTTGCCCGGTATTTTTCACGTATAAATTTCTATGTAGTAAATTGCGCTCAATAAAAATATTATTATTTTGATAGTAATTTACCCATAGGACACCACAAGAAGGTGACTATCACTGTCCTCCAAAATGATTTTTTGGTTTGCTTGAAATAAATAAATTAGTTTATAAAAATCGAAAAATTAATTTCTTTTTTAAAGAAACTAATTTGGGATTAATAATGGGCAAATAATGGATTGTTTTAAATTAAATTTTGATTAAAATTAAATATTTCGTAACTATACCAACTAATACCGTGTATTAAAATAAAATACCTTCTTATTTTAAATATAACGTCTAAAACATTTAAAATTTTTTTTAAAAATGGATGAAGAATGAATTGTAATTACCTATGGGGTATGGATATTTCCTAAAATCACACAACATTAATACATTATGAATTTATAAGTATGCATAATAATTCCTGGACTACTTATTTACTTGATTAAAATTAAATATTTCGTAATTATAACAACTAATACCGCGTATTAAAATAAAATACCTTCTTATTTTAAATATAACGTCTAAAACATTAAAATTTTTTCTAAAAAATGGATGAATAATGAATTGCAATTACCTACAATGGGGTATGGATATTTCCTAAAATCACACAACATTAATACATTATGAATTTATAAGTATGCATAATAATTCCTGAACTACTTATTTACACTGCCGATAACATACACACAATTAAATAATTATTAATTGAAGTTTAATCATTTTCATACTATACTTGTTTACTATAATCATCTGTCTTATGATAATATGAACGCTTCGTACAGTAACTACATAAGCCAGAAGCCTTACATAAATTATTGTACGGCATTATAATACTACCTTCTAAACAGCAATGAAATAGTGTTTGTTAATATGGTTTGATTATTATTTTTTTTTTCACTTATTTGCCAGACAGTTACAGACAATCGTTTGATGAATAAATAGGTAGATACCTAACATTCTTTTTATTGGAAAGAAAAAAATTCAATATTTTAATCTCTATGAAAAATTTTTTACAACATAATAAAATAATAATTTATGACTTAATAGAATTACATGTTATGCTCGTTTATTCTTTTAATCGTATAGAAGCAAATAATAGAGAACACGAATTGAAATAATATAACATTTTATCTATATGGTAAAACGGGATAAACTATTCAAGTTGCAGTTGCTTGAAATTAAGCCTTTGATGTTTTTTTAGGTTCAATATAATTTGAGTCCAGCTGTAAGGCGCAGACGTATGTCTCTACCAAATTACGTGGATAACCGTTCAGGGTCGACAAAAGGACGTTACATGCTCAAAAGAAATTCGTGCACGGTGGCCTAATTCGGAAGACCTGCGATAATACACAATTAAAAAATAATAATAATAATCTCATTTCGATTATTTTAGACGCTGGTGTGAACAAGAAAAAAGTAAAATAATTTATTTTGTTCTTATAAATGATTCGCATAATATCAAATTGGACACAAGGTCCAAAAATATTTTGAGACATTATAACATGACATAATATTATTAAAATGTTGCGTAAAATCAGCTTTAAGAAGTTCTAGCTTTACAATATTGTATAAATGATTTTTATACAATGGCTATATAATGTGATTGGTTATAAATTTATAATCGTTTAATGTGCTATATTAAAATACAACATTATATAATAAATTGCGGATTGTTACATTCAAACAACTTAATAATCATATTTTATTTTTATTTTTGCTTAAAACAAACAATGCTAAGTGTGTTAACGGTGTATAATACCTATTTATTATATTTATAATATCTAACTATTGAAATAAAATGAAGTTTATAATAATATTATGAAACCAAGTTGGCACGATTCCAGTCCATTATCAAGATACAGTATTATTAAACGCATACAATAACAATACATTTCATTGAGTAAAGATACGAAAAAAATATACATATACATGTGAGACCACTATACGTGCAAACTTTGGAAACTTTTACAATAAATGTATACAGCAAAATTTCAAATAAATAACGCGAAACGGAATGAACGGCTAAAATATGAGAGGGAAACTGTATTAAGTAAAATATTTACCGATAGTACACAATAATATAATATTAACACTAATGATAACACTATTGATATTATAACAATATTAAACAAAAATTAAATGATAGATCTAATTATTACTTTTTAATATTATATTTTATATTGAAATCTGTGACGATTAGTTGTTGTCAGACGACTATTTGCGGATCACTATAAATATTACTATCAGATATATTTACAATGTTCGACCAATAATATTGTGATATGAATACTTACTTACAAATTCATTTTTAGGTTAGCATTAGTTATAACCGTGTTCTACGGATTTATTAAAGGTTCAATCTCTTTATCTATCTATGATATCTATAGACTATAGTTACTATATATTATTAATAATTTGATATTCATTTTTATTTTCTTATTGAAACAAATACGTCTATAAAACATTTATCTAATTATGAGATTCTAATAAAATACAATTAAATTAAGTGGTTATGATATAGTAAAGATAATATTAGTGATAACATTTTTTAAACTTACCTAATTGCCTTCATACTTAGTCAATTGTCAATCATTACTATTTATCCCTTGGACTAAGATTTTTATTGGCATTGGTAATGTTTTATTCTTTATGCAACCGTTTATAAATATGGTTAGTAATGAGTAATGACTTGGGCTTATTCTATAGTACCTACTTAAAAATCTTAAAATATGCACCTATGTACTTAAAATATTATGCTCTAAAAAATGTATTTTACGTTATTATTTGAAATAGAATCATTTAAAAAATTTATAAATTATATTTATATATAAAATAAACATTAAAAAGAAAATTATAGGTGTTAAAATGAAAACTTAAAAAATTAATTTCTCCCTCTGTCGTCTACTTATCGTAATACACTTGATGAATTACTTCGATGGTAGGTACGCTGCACGATAGTCGAAATCTCCTGACAAATGTGGCACAGTGTTAATACGGTGGTCTAATCATCTAGGCCTGGTATAGCCTGGATCCGAGCACGCAATACTGAAATTATTGTTTCTGTACCGAATATTTTCTATATTATTTGTTTTTATTTTTTCAAACTTGTTAGACACTTATTTAAACTTTTCTGTATCAAACAATTTAAAAATATATTCTTGTTTTTTCTTATAACCCTACTTACTGAAATATGTACATTAATATTTATATGCAGTTAATAGTTATGAAAAAATATGCAAGGGGGAGGGAGTGGCCGAGCGGAACGAGGCGTCGGCCGCGGGCAGCATTTTTCTTCGCGTCCAGAAAACAAGCGCCACCAACCCCCACCAGGGTCATGGCACAAACCTACGGGTGCCCCATTAGAAATTCTGCCACAACACACACACAATCGTGTACCAATCTATCCAATATAAAAACTCATAGTTCTATCCCCACACCCAATGGCATATGATGGCCCGGGTTATCTAATAAAAAAAATAAAATAAAAAATATGCAAAACTATGTAAAATACAATTTTAATTATAGCTTCCTATAGTGTTATGTAACATATTTATACCTATTGTTCTTCGACCTTTCTAGACGAAAATATGACAATACTTGAAGTACTCAAGCCTCTGAACAAGTAATACAATCTAACCTAACCATGAATCGACCCATTGACACAATTAATGTTATGTTTTTAATTTTTCATAATATGTTAAGAATAATACCAAATGCATAATAATGTTGTCACACAATCTAACTTTAAGTATAAACACGAACAATTAATGTTTTATGGTAGGTATATTTAAACGAAAGTAAAGCTATAGATACCTCATAATGATATATTAGGTACGCTACTAATCTAAAAGTTATAAAATCAGAGATTTTGTCTTAGGTGAAAAAATGAAAAAAATGTTTTAAAAATACTGTTGGTTTATTTAAGATAAAAGTCTAACAAAATTATTTAGCTTTGATGAAAAATGATTTCAGTTTTACTTAATGATAGGTAGATATTTTGAAATTTATTGATTATTAAATGTTATTTCATTGTTTATTTTATATTATATTTGTATTGCTTATTTTAGCAATTATTATTAAAATTAAATAAGTAGGTCAGTACCTACATGCATACTTCACTATTTTATACTGAGTATAGTAGACCTTAGCTATATTTTAATATTTATCTGCAGTATTAATTAATATTCATTCAACACGTAAAGTTACACGTTTCTCATTAGACGTAATACGATTACCTAGTTAAATATTTAAACACGAATTTGACAGAAATGATTATTTTTCAAGTCCTATCATTGAAAATCCAAATACATTTTTTATTTAATAAATAAATTTATAAATATATAGGCACTTTATGTAGATTGAATATAATTTTTATGTAAATGGTTTATCTATATCTGCCTATACGTACATGACGTCAGTGTCGGCCTGGCCAGGGCCGCGGGGCCGCGAACGCGGCCGAGGCCCTGGCAGGGCTGGAAGTAGGTCACTTTTTTAACTAAAAGTCACTTTTTTAAAATTGACTCGCTTTAAGTCACTTATTTAGAAAATAAGTCACTTATGTCACTTATTTTCAAAATGTACCTAAATTTATATTTAAACTGCATATGGCCACCAACTTTATATTTGAATGTACAGTAACATGCCTGAATCGCGGTAAAAAAAGTCCCGACGAAAATGAATGAAAATATATCAAAACTGAAGTATAAATATATTAAAATTGTATTGAAATATACATTTAAGTTACATAAAATATTATATAATATCATTAAAAATGTTAATTGCTTACTTAAATCATATATTAAATTATAATGAAATTTAATTTAATACAAGTCCAAAATAATAAAATTTAATACATATACAATAATCAATAATAAATATAATTATAGTACCTACCTATAGAATTATAATAAAAATGCTATAAAATAATAAAAATGTAATATTATAATTAAGTACACCTCTTTCTTGTGTTATGACTTACGGCTGTTGAATAGGCTTATTTATAGGCATATAACATATTATTATACCAATATCTTTGTTTTTATGTAATGTTCCTAATCAAACTTTCGTATATTTATTAGTCTACTACATTTGAAAAACCATCCGGGATGAATTCCTATTATAACAAACCATAGGCGTGTTTTTTAGTTATGATTAAAATAAAGAAAGTTCCTAAACAATGATCTTGAATATTATTCTAAATTATAAACATTATAAATTGAAATGGGTAATATGATTTAATCATTTGTTATTAAAATTTGTGTTTATTATTATCATTATTTTTTTGTAATTTCAACAAAATTAAGTACCTACCAAGAATAAGTTAGAATCAATTAAACCATAGGTATGTAGAGATTAAGAGATTCAAAGACAAATGTTTAATAACTGTGAAGTTGTTATGAAACAAATGTATGTAGGTAACTTTTTTATCACTTTTATGAATAAATTCAGTCACTTAGTCACTTTTTTAAATAGCCTTAACCACTTCCAGCCCTGCCCTGGGCTTTTTTTTTTACAATTAAATGTACGACGATGGACGAGGGAGTGCCGATCACTGGTGCCCACAGGTTGCAGGGGCCCCAGCCTAAGTCTTAACTAAAAATATTGAAATATGACCACCCCAATTTTTATTCACAAAAATAATCGTAGAAAACTTTTAATAAAACTTTAATAGAGCCCTTCATTGAAAGTGACAATTGGCCTAGTTGCGCTACTGACGAAGTGTATAAACGGGGCCGGTTTAGAGAGAGCCCACCGGGCCCGGGGCCCCACATGATTCAATTAATAAGAGGCCCCCACGAGATAATTACCTTTCAGCTTATGCAGGAAGTTATATGTCAACCTTATATGGCCATATAGGGCCCCCACCATCATAAATCCGGCCCTGTGTATAAGTTATAGAATTTGAGTGTAGTGTACAATCACTACAAACACGTATCTACTATCTAGTACGATATAATAGAATCTATATTTTGTCATTGGTGCGGTGTGCTGTTTAGTGTTTACTCGTATAAGGTGTAGTACAAATGTAATGATAAACGAGATGATTTGAACGCACATAAGATTTTTTGTACAACAGGGTTTGCTACAGCCCACAGGTACAACAAAATTGTCGGGAAAATCGTAACGAGTACAAATACAATAAGTCAATAACGTCTATGTGTGGGGCCCTCGTACGGTTGTACAATAGGTTTGATAAATTGTCTAATCAATTATTATCATTTATCATAAGCGCTATATCGAAATGAAGAAGTAAGAACTAAACTAGGCACGTGTACAGTGTTGAGTGTTGACCGTGTTGTTCATATATTATTATAATATGAATTTTGT